AAACATTGCCACTAGTTGCTGAAGAGCTGTTTGAGGGGAAGGAGGTGAACATTTGGACCAGAGGATCAAAGGAGAAAGGGCAGGATTTGATTTCTTCATGTGGACTACTGGAGAATATATCTGTTTAAATATTTCTAAAGTTGATCTGATCCATATGTTGCCTAAGTGTTTCTCTTTTGTGTTAGATATAGAGATCTACTTGATTTTATTTTTATTATTTTTACTGAAATTTTTTAAGTTTATTGACTTTTTGAGAGAGAGAGAGAGAGAGAGTGAGCAAGCACGCGGGGGAGAGGTAGAGAGAGAGGGAGACCAAGGATTGGAAGCAGCTTCCCCCCTGACAGCAGAGTGCGGCACAGGGCTAGAACTCCTGAACCAGGAAATCATGACCTGAGGTGAAGTTGGTTGCTTAACCTACTGAGCCACCCAGACGCCCCTTACTTGATGTTTTTAAAAGATCTTTTTTTGGAAGTTGTCACAGTCTTATTTTATGGGTTGATTCTCAGTTTTAAATACATAGAAATGAGGATATAACATTTTTTCTTAACTCTTTTTTAAAAACCTTATTTATTTTTGAGAGAGCATGAATGCACCTGACTGGGCGGGTAGGGGCACAGAAGGAAGGAGAGAATCTCAAGTGGGCTCTAGGCTGTTAACACACAACCTGACCTGGGGCTCGATCCCACCAACCTCAAGATCATTACCTGGGCCAAAATCAAGAGTTGGACACTCAACCAACTGAGCCACCCAAGTGCCCTGAGAGAGAGAGAGAGAGAGAGAGAGAGAGAGAGAGTCTTAAGCAGCCTCCACGCTCACTGCAGAGCCTGAGGTAGAGCTTCATGGCCTGAAGTAAAATTAAAGAGTCAGATACTCAACCAACTGAGCCACCACGGTGCCCCCCCCCCTTTTTTTTATAGTAGCCATCCTAATGTGTGTGAAGTGGAATCTTCTTGTAGTCTTGATTTTTTTTTCCTAATGATCAGTGATGTTGAGCATCTTTCTGTATGCTTATTGGCTATTTGTAGATCATCTTTGCAGAAATGTCTATCAAGTCCTTTCTTGATTTTTGAATTGGATTTTTGTTATGTTTTGAGTTTGAGGAATTCTCTGTTCTGAACATTAATTCCTTATCAGATATATTTTGTAACTGTTTTCTCCCAATCTGTGGGCTACCTTTGGTTCTGTTGATTCTGTCTCTTGATGCAGAATTTTTTTTTTGATGCAGAAATTTTTTTAAAATTTCATGAAATCCAATTTGTTGGCATTTTCTGTCATGGCCTATTCCTTTGGTGTTCTTTCCAGCAGATCATTACCAGATCCAATGTACGCAGCTTTTGCCCTGTATTTTCTTCTAAGAATTTTATAGTTTTAGGTCTTCAGTTTGGCTTGATTCATTTTGAGTTAATTTTTCTATGTGGTATTAGATAAACGTCCAACTTCATTGTTTTGCACATGGATATCCAGTTTTCCCAGCACCATTTGTTGAAAGATGATTTTCCCTATTGAATGTTGTTTTTTGTTTTCTTTTAAGATTTTGTTTAAGTAATCTCTACAACCAACATGGGCTTAAACTTAGAACCCTGTAATCAAGAGTCACATGCCCTTTGGACTAAACCAGCCAGATACTTCTGTTATTGAATGTTCCTGGTACTCTTGTCAAAAAATCATTTGTAAGCAGAGAACTCTAGATGCTGGCGAGGATGTGGAGAAACGGGCACCCTCCTGCACTGTTGGTGGGAATGTAAACTGGTACAGCCCCTCTGGAAAACAGTGTGGAGGTTCCTCAGGAAACTAACAATAGAACTCCCTTATGACCCAGCAATAGCACTGCTAGGAATTTACCCAAGGGATACAGAAATGCTGAGGCATAGGAGCACAGGTACCCCAATGTTCATAGCAGCACTCTCCACAATAGCTAAAACATGGAAAGAGCCTAAGTGTCCATCAACAGACGAATGGATCAAGAAGATGTGGTTTATCTATACCATGGAATACTATATGGCAATGAGAAACAATGAAATCTGGCCATGTGTAGCAACATGGATGGACCTTGAGGGTGTTATGCTGAGCGAAATAAGTCAGGCAGAGAAGGACAAATACCATATGTTTGCACGTATAGGAGGATTAGGAGGAACTTGACGGAGGACCAAGGGGGAGAAGAAGGGCGGAAATGGTGGGGGAAAGGGAGAGAGGCAAACCATGAGAGACTCTTGAATGCTGACAAAAACTGAGGACTGATGGATGTGGGGGGGAGGGGGGGATGGGCATGAAGGAGGGCACTTTGGGGATGAGCACTGAGTGTTATGTAAAAACTAATTTGACAATAAACTATTTGTAAAAAAAAAAAAAAAAAAAAAAAAAAAAAAAAAAAATCATTTGTATGTGAAGGTTTATTTCTGGGCTCTCTATTCCATGTTTTCTATGTTTGTGCCATGTTGTTTTGATTATTATAGTTTTGTAGTAAGCTTTGAAATTAGGAAATGTGAATCCCCCAGTTTTGTTCTTCCTTTTCAAGATTGGTTTTGGCTATTTGGGATCATTGGAATTCCCTGTGAATATGATCTTTTTTTTTTCCCTTAGGAGTTTTAGAATGAGGTTTCCTATTTCTGCAAAAAAAAATAATTGAGATTTTGATAGTGATTGCATTCAATATGTAGGTCACACTGGGTAGTATTGACATTTTAACAATGTTAAGTCTTCTGATCCAGTGGGAATAATAGAATATTATTTTATTTCCTGTGAAATTCAAGAGCCTATTCATGTCAAGAACCAAGCCCACCGGTAAAATTAGTCCATAACTTTCTACCTTTTTAAAAAAATTTTTAATGTTTATTTATTTTTGAGACAGGTAGGCAGAGCATGAGTGGGGGAGGGACAGAGAGAGAGACACACACAGAATCCGAAGCAGGCTCCAGGCTCTAAGCTGTCAGCACAGAGCCTGACGTGGGGCTAGAACTTACGGACCGTGAGGTCATGACCCAAGCTGAAGTCGGATGCTTAACCTGCTGAGCCACCCAGGTGCCCCTGATTATTTGTTAGAATAAAGGATAATTGATGCATGATTATATTATTAGCTTAGTAATGTAATTTTTTCTTTTTCATGGTAGATATCCCAGAGGAGGAAGCCAGATACTGGACTTACAAATTGGAGCAAATCAATGTCTTGGGAGCTGACAGTGAGGTAGGAATTACATTATTTACACTACAGAGATGGGAGAATATTTCGTTTTTTTTTTTAATTAAAACAATTTTTTATTATAGTGAGCACAGCTGGGGGAGAGAGACAAAAGGAGAGAGAACGTTAAGCAGGCTTCATGCTCAGAGTGGAGCTTGACACAGGGGTTGATCCCACAACCCTGGGATCATGACCTGAAATGAAATCAAAAGTCAGATGTTCAACCGACTGAGCCACTCAGGCACCCTGGGGAAAATATCTTTATAGGACACTTTGTTTGTCAAGGGAGGGGGTACCCAGGAGCATGTTGAAGAATGAAAGAATTTAAGCTGCATTAAAGAAACAAGGCAGCTGGAAGATCACTGGACATTTAGAAGGATCTATCTCCCACTTTTTCTGTTTTTCTCATTGTTCTCCATTAATGGCTGAATTGGCACTAGTCTGGTTCTAGACTCTTGGGATGGGAGCTTATACTAGGGAAACTGTTCTCTTGTTACAGAGATGAGCAGAAGGCATTTCTTCTGCTAATTTCCACATGTTCGGGCATACAATTGACCCTTGGACAGCGAGATTTTGAACTGTGGGTCTAGTTATACAGATTTTTTTCTTTAAAAAAATTTTTTTTAATGTGTTTTATTTATTGTGGAGAGGAGGAGACGGGGAGAGGGGGAGAGGGCGCATGTGAGCAGGGGAGGGTCAGAGAGATAGGGAGATACAGAATCTGAAGCAGGCTCCAGGCTCTGAGCTAGCTGTCAGCACAGAGCCCAACGTGGGGCTTGAACCCATGAACTGTGAGATCATGACCTGAGCCGAAGTCGGATGTTTAACCGACTGAGCCTCCCAGGCACCACTACACAGATTTTTTTTCTGATAAATATAGTACTGTAAATGTATTGTAATGTGTGATAATGTAAATGTGCGTGATTTTCTTAATATCTTTTTTTCTCTAGTTTATTGTAAGAATACAGTAATATGTATAACATACAAAATATACATTGACTCTTTATTGGTAAGACTCAACAGTAGGCCATTAGTAGTTAAGTTTTTGGGGGATCAAAAGTTACATGTGAACCTTTGCTTGTGTCATTTGTTAGGGTCAATGTCCCTAACCCACCCATTGTTTGAGAGTGAACTGTAGGGGTTTCATTGATGGCTCAGTCGGTTAAGCATCCAACTTCGGCTAAGGTAATGATCTCACAGTTTGGGAGTTCAAGCCCTGTGTCTGGCTTTGTGTTGACAGTAAGGAGCCTGCTCAGATTCTGTCTCTTTGCCCCTCCCTCCCTCCCTCTCTTTCTCTCGAAATAAAAAAAACTTTTTAAAAAGTCAACTGTAAATTGTTATTTGTAGGTTCTTTCTAGGGATGCTTAGATGATTACACTGTTTGGCCTTGTCTTATCTCCAGAGATAGCTCTGGTGCACAACAGGGAAAACTGACAACTCAGTCTAGGCCGTCAGGAATGGGGAATGTTTTAGTTATTGCTGGTGGAGGGAAAAGATAACATTTTCACTTTTGGACATGTTGGGCTGTTACAAAATTGGTCTGATTATAAGGTAGAATTGGAGTGCCAGTAGTTATTTCAATGGAAATGTCTGGTAAGCACCTTCATGAAAGAAAGAAAGAATATGAAGCTCAGGGTTAGATAGGGTGAGGAGCTATTGACATAGGATTCATGAACATAATGGTAACATTTGAAGTCCCAGGAATAGAAGAACTCAAAAATGTAGAGTATGTAAAAAGTATTTTTTAAAAAATTTTATTCTAATGTGAGAGAAAGAGTGTGCGTGTGAGAGAGCGCAAGCGCACCCACCTGCCACCTGTGCAGGGGAGGGGCAGAGAGAGAGGGAGACACAGAATCTGAAGCAGGCTCCAGGCTCTGAGCGTTCGACACAGTGCCCGATGCGAAGCTTGAACCACGCATGGACCATGAGGTCATGACCTGAGCCCAAGTTGGGCACTTAATTAATTGATTGAGCCACCCAGGTGCCCCTGTAAAAGGTATTGAAGAACAAGGACAAAACCTTGGAGAACATCAAATATAGAATATGGAAGAAGAGATGGAGAAGGAACTGTCTGAAGAGAGCAAGTAGGAGGAAAGAAAAAGATTCATGGAATAAAGGGTAAAAGGGTTTTAAAGCAGAAATTCTTGATACTCTCGAATGTTAATGAGAACAAAGATGATGAGTAATGAAATGAGCTGTCACATTTGGCAATTACTGACCAGTATCTGTAGATTAGTGCAGGATGCCAAAATGCAATGTTTTGTTGAGTGTATTAGTTTCCAAGGGCCGCCATAGCAAAGTACCACTAACTAGGTGACTTAAAGAAATAGTTTATCCTCTCACAATTCTGAAGGTTAGAATTCTGAAATGAAGCTCTTGGCAGGGTCATTTCCTTATGGACATTCTGAGTAACTGTCCCATGGCTCTCTTCTGCCTTCTGGTAGTTTTCAGTAGTTCTTGCTGTTCCTTGACTTGAAGACCCGTTGTTCAAATTTCTTCCTGTTGCCACTGCCTCCTTGTGTGTCTCTATCTCTCATCACAATGTGTTCACTTTGTGTGTCTCTGTCCAAATTTACATTTATTTTGTAAGGGCAATAGTCACTGAACTAATTTGATTACATCTGCAGAACCTGATTTACAAATAAGGTCACATTCATAGGTACTGGGGATTAGAACTTCAACATTGTTTTGGAGGAACACAGTTCAGCCCACAGTGAGGTAAATCATAGGTAAGAAAATGGAATTTGTGACAAGGATCAGAGTTTTTTCTTAATTCACCTGAATCCTCTGTAGACTATTATTTAAACTATGTAATTCTTATGGCCAAGCCAGCACCTCAACTCTTCTTTGTTAAAAGTTCCAATCTTCTCTCCTTGAGATTGCCAAATCCACTCTATCTTTGTATCACTTTACCCTTTGTATTTTGTTTGTTTTCCCATAGCCTGGGTGTAGAGTGGTATACATTTTACAAATTCCTATCTTCTTTGTTTTCTTAGTAAAGAAACAGATTGGTGGGCACCTGGCTGGCTCAGCTGGTAGAACATGTGATTCCTGATTTCACGGTTGTGAGCTCAAGTTCCATACTAGGTGTAGAAATTACTTAAAAATAAAATCTAAAAAATATTTTGTACTTTTGATTTTATAGACTTTACTGGATATCACTAGAGAGAATCAGATGAAGAGGTTAAAACAATAAAAAACCAAACGTAACTTACACAAATACGGAAGAATTTTGTAAGTTCTAAAAATGGTGGTTCTTGGTCTGTGGTTCTCAACTTCCTCTAAGATTTTTGCTTTTTGTTTCTATTCTAAGATTTGGAGTTCACTAAGTTTACTTCTTTCATCCCTCCCTTTATCACCTGTTGTTAATGTTTTTAATAACTTTATTGAAACATAGTTCTTAAAGTTCACACATTTAAAGTGTAAAATTTAGTATATTCAGAGTTGTACATCCTTAGAACATTTGCATTACCCCATAAGGAAATCTAGTGCCCTTAGCCATCATACTCCCAATTCTCTTATCCTCCTTAGTCCTAGGCACACACTAATCTACTTTCTATCTAAACATTGACTTATTCTGGACATTGCATATAATGGAATTATACACTTCATGGTTCTTTATGATTTTCTTCTTTCATTTAGCATAATATCTTCAAAATTTCTTCTGTGTTGTGGTATGTATGCTACTTCATTCTGTTTCATTGCCAAATAATATTCCTTTGTATGATTATACTACATTTCATCCATTTATCAGTTGGTGTAACAATTAGATTGTTTCTACTTTTTGGCTGTTAAGGGTAATGCTCCTATTAACATTGATGTACAAGTTTTTGTTTAGACATATGTTTTCTCTTGGGTATACACCTGGGAGTAGAATTGCTGGATCAGATCAGATGGTAACTATATTCAGCTGTTTTAGAAATTAGACTTATTTCCAAAGTGGCTGTACCATTTTACATTCTCACCAGCAGTGTACAAGGGTTCCCTTTTCTCCATATTTTTGCTAACAGTTGTTGAATATAGCCATCCTAACAAATGTGAAGTGGTATCTTATTCTGATTGCTACTTTATTTAAAAATTTTGTTATTGAAAAGTAAGTAGAACCTGAAAAGTAAGTAGAATTACTTCTCTCTTTTTGCTGTAGTATTTTTTTTTTTTTTTTTTTATTTCTAGGAGAGAGAGAGAGACAGCCTGAGCAGGAGAGGGTCAGAGAGAGAGGGAGACACAGACTCTGAAACAGGCTCCAGGCTCTGAGCTGGCAGTCAGCACAGAGCCCGATGCGGGGCTCGAACCCACGAACTGCGAGATCATGACCTAAGCGAAAGTCGGACGCTTAACCGACTAAGCCACCCAGGCGCCCCTTTGCTGTAGTATTTTAAGACCAATCTCAGACATCATCTTGTCTCACTCACAAATATGTGAATACTTCTGCAACTTTAATATATAATGCCTTTTTTTAATGTAGATAAAAAAAACCATACACCTTGAACACATTGCATTTAATAATTTCTTAATGTCATGTCAAACCTAATAAGTTCAGATTTCCTTTGATCTCAAAGATGTATTTTCACAGTTGATTTGTTCAGTTCAGGATCCAAGCAAATTATTCACATTTAATTATTTCTTGTAAATAATTTTTATTCTGTAACTGTTTCCCCTTCCCTCGTTTTTTTTTTTTTAATTTTTTAAATGTTTTATTTATTTCAAGGAGAGAGAGAGACAGCGTGAGCAGGGGAGGGTCAGAGAGAGAGGGAGTCACAGACTCTGAAACAGGCTCCAGGCTCTGAGCTGGCAGTCAGCACAGAGCCCGACGGAGGGCTCGAACCCACGAACCATGAGATCATGACCTAAGCAAAAGTCGGACGCTTAACTGACTAAGCCACCCAGTCGCCCCTTCCCTCGTTTGTTTTATAGAACCCTGCATATTCTGGATTTGGTTGATATCCCAGAAGTTTTATTTACCACATTCTCCTATCTCTGTTCTTTTAAACTAAAATTATATCTAATAGTTTGAGGATTAGATTGAAACTTAGATTGAATTTGTTTTTTGGTAGGGACATGGTGTCTCATCTCACTTTAGTGATGTTAAAATTCAATAGTGGAGATGCACTTATTACTTGTGGTTACTTTCACAAGAAACATCCATGTGAAAAAAAAAATTAAAAAGTGGATTCAACTGGTGTCAGCCACTGTTCTCCATAATAAAGCTTTCCCACCAGCCTTCCCACTTGGTTTTAGCAGCAGATAATTATTATTTAATTAGGGCTTAGAAAATGATTTTCTAATTATATTATCCTTCCACCTTTATCTACTATGATTTGTGTATGAAAAAACTTTCTCTTACAGCTCTTTGGTTCACTTGTAATAAAATCTGTACAAGGAAAACCTTTGTTAATTTTTTTTTTTTTTTAAGTTTTATTGTTTATTTTGAGAGAGAGAGAGCGAGCATGAGCAAGACAGTGTGTGAGCAGGAGAGGGGCAGAGAGAGAGGGAAACACAAAATCCAAAGCAGGCTCCCGGCTCCGAACTCTCAGCGTAGAGCCCAATGTGGGGCTCAAACTCATGAACTGTGAGATCATGACCTGAGTTGAAGTTGGATCAGACACTCAACCAAGTGAGCCACCCAGGTGCCCTTCAATTTGCAAAATAATAGGCAACTTCTCAAGGCAATGAATGTGTTTTCTTTTTTTAGTAGTGTATCATTATGAATATGAGTTTTGATACTGATTTGTTTCAACCCATTATAGTCATTATTCTTTTCGATACTAAAATAATCTCCTCTTTCGTTAGTGGTATCTTCACGTTGGCTTCTGTGTACTTTTTTCTGTTTTTATCATGTAAAAATTTTAAGGAGGCATAAAAATAGAGGGAATAATAAAATGAAACCAGTACACTTATTCCCAAGATTCAGTAATTATCAAGAACTTGTCATATAATTTAAAAAACACGGTGTAGAATCTTATCTTATTCTCCGGTGTGTATTTAATAGTTCTCATCCACAGGAACCCCCTTGGGTCAGAAGTACCAAGTCAAGACTGGATTAGGGATCTGCCACTTGGCAGAGTTGGATTGTACCACTTTTTATTACTTTTCCTTCTCATGGACTGTTTTTCACTATTACAAATGTATGCTGCAGTGAAGATCTTTGAGCCTATTTCTCTGTGTTTATGAATGAGGGATTCTTTGGATATATATGCCCAGGAAGTAGAATTGCTTAGTTGTGGGATATGCTCTGTTCAACCTTACTAGATATTGCTTAATTGTTCTCCAAAATAATTGTACCAATTTACATTACATTTCCAGCTTCTTTATATACTTATACTTGCTACTACCAGATTAAAAGCATTTGCTAATTGGGGCACCTGGGTGACTCGGTTGAACATCTGAGTTTGGCTCAGGTCATGATCGCGCAGATTGCAAGTTCGAGCCTCATGTCAGGCTCTGTGCTGACAGCTCAGAGCCTGGAACCTGCTTCATATTCTGTGTCTCCCTCTCTCTCTTCCCCTCCCCTGCTGTCTGTCTGTCTGTCTGTCTCTCAAAAATAAACATTAAAAAAACTAAAAATATAAGAGTATTTGCTAATCTAATGATTGTAAAGCATTATTGTTTTCATTTCCATTTGTCTGTTTATTGGTGACATGCAGTCATTTATTCAACAGATAACTTACCAAACACTAAATATCAGCCACTGTTTTTAGATGCTTGGTAAACATCAGAGGTTAAACAAAGATCCCTGTTCCCATGGATCAAATAGGAGATAGACAATTAGCAGGAAATGTAGTAAATACAGTAAGTGTTAAAGTATTCCTAATCATTATGAATGGTATATTTAAAAAGTACATTTTCTAATAGTTCATTGCTGTTATAAGGCAGTGCTTTGTTCATATTTTTAGTATTGATTGTATACAGCGACTTTTAAAACTTTATTTTAATTTCAGTGTAATTAACATACAGCATTATATTAGCCTCAGGGGTACAGTATAGTGATTGAACAATTCGGTGTATTACTCAGTGCTTATCATGTTAAGTATACTTTTTTTTTTAAAAACATTTATTACTGAGAGACAGAGAGAGACAGGGCATGAACAGGGGAGGGGCAGAGAGAGAGGGAGACACAGAATCCAAAGCAGGCTCCAGACTCTGAGCTGTCAGCACAGAGCCTGACGTGGGGCTTGAACTCACAAACTGTGAGATCATGACCTGAGCCGAAGTTGGACCCTTAACCGACTGAGCCACCCAGGTGCCCCATACTTCTTAATCCCCTTCACCTAGTTCACTCCCACCCATTCTCTATATTTAAGAGTCTTTTTTTTTTTTTTGTCTCTTGTTTCTTCCACATATGTTGGAAATCATGTTACTGTCTTTCTTTGACTTATTTCACTTAGCATTATACTCTGTAGCTCCATCTATGTTATTGCAAATGGCAAGATTTCATTCTTTTTTTAGTGGTTGATTAACATTCCAGTGGAAATATATACTGCATCTTCTTTATTCATTCATCTATTGATGGACACTTGGGTTAATTCCACAATTTGGCTATTGTAAATAATGCTGCTATAAACGTAGAAGTGCATATATCCTTTTGAATAAGTGTTTTTGCACTCATTGGGTCAATACTGAGTAGTGAAATTATTGGGTTGTATGGTAGTTCTGTTGTCAGTTTTTTGGGGAGCCTCTATACTTTATTCCACAGTGGTTATACTGGTTTGCATTCTTACCAACAGTGCATAAAGGTTTCTTTTTCTCCATATCCTCACCAACACTTGTTTCTTGTCTTTTTGGTTTTAGCTGTTCTGACAGGTGTGAGGTGATATCTCATTGTGGTTTTGATTTGCATTTCCTTGATGCTCAAATGATGTTGAACATTTTTTCATGTGTCTATTGGCCATCTTTGTTATCTTCATTTTTTTTTTCTTAATTTGAACTTTATTTTTAATGTCAAGTTAGCTAACATACAATGTAGTCTTGGCTTTAGGAGCAGATTCCCATGATTCATCTCTTTCATACAGCATCCAGTGCTCATCCCAACAAGTACCTTCCTCAGTGCCCATCACCCATTTTCCCCAGCCCCCCACCCCATCAGCCCTCATTTTGTTCTCTGTATTTAAGAGTCTTTTATGATTTGCCTCCCTCTCTGTAATTTATTTTTCCTTCCCTTCCCCTATGGTCTTATGTCAAGTTTCTTAAATTCCACATCTGAGTGAAATCAGGGTATATTTTTCTTTCTCTGACTGACTTATTTCACTTAGCATAGTGCCCTCCAGTTTTATCCACATTATTGTAAATGGCAAGATTTCATTCTTTATCATGGCTGACTGATATTCCTGTGTGTGTGTGTGTGTGTGTGTGTGTGTGTGTGTACACACACCACATATTCTTTATCCTTTTATCAATTGATGGACATTTGGGCTCTTGCCATAATTTGGCTATTGTTGATAGTGCTGCTGTAAACATTGGGGTACATGTGCCCCTATGAATCAGCACTCCTGATTACTCCTTTACTTTGGGTAAATTCCTAGTAGTGCTGTTGCTGGTCATAGTGTAGTTCTATTTTTAATTTTCTGAGGCACCTCCATACTGTTTTCCAAAATGGCTGTACCAGTTTGCATTTCCACCAACAGTGCAAGAGGGTTCCCCTTTCTCCATATCCTGTGTATTCTTTTGGATGAAAAATTCTGAATATATCTGTTAGGTCCATCTGGTCTGATGTGTCATTCAGAGACATTGTTTCCTTATTAATTTTTTGCCTAGATGATATGTCCATTGAGTATGATTATTAAAGTCCCCTACAATCATGGTATTATCTATACATTTATTTATGTTTGTGATTAATTGATTTATCTCTTTGGTTGTTTACTTGTTGGGGGCATAAACATTTACAATTCTTAGCTCTTCTTGATGGATAGATCCCTTAATTATGATATAATGCACTTCTCTTATTACAGTCTTTGGTTTAAAATCTAGTTTGTCTGATATAAATATGGCTACTCTGTGGCTAAAATGAACAAATCACGAGACTCTAGATGCTGGCGAGGATGTGGCAGCACCCTCCTACACTGTTGGTGGGAATGTAAACTGGTGCAGCCCCTCTAAAAAGAAAAAAGTGTGGAGTTTCCTCAAAAAAATTAACAATAGAACTCCCCTGGGACCCAGTAGTAGCACTGCTAGGAATTTACCCAAGGGATACAGGAGTGCTGATGCATAGGGGCACATGTACCCCAGTGTTCATAGCAGCACTCTCAGCAATAGCTAAATCATGGAAAGAGCCTAAGTGTCCATCAACTGACGAGTGGATCAAGATGTAGTTTATCTAT